AGAAACCTTTTACCTAATTGTTTTAGCGTGGTTAAGCACTAAAGCTAAACAAATAAATAATGCCTTTCTACTTTACCTCTGCAAATCTCCATTGCAACATCCATGCAAACATCAGAATGCTTTAGCAGTAAATAACAACAAACAAGATGATTCTGTGAAGTCTTTGTCACCTGCAAAAATTGTCTCAACCAAAACTGTTGCTTCCTAATCCATTATGGCCTAATTTTCCTAATCTTCATGGCTTTTAGATGCCCTTGAAAAGGCAGACAGGAGAGTGTAGTCTAGGTTACTGGGGCGCCTGTGCATGAGTCTGTGTTTCTTTAATTGCATGTGAGGAAGGATGTGTCTCTGTGTACTTAATTAACCACAAAAAGCTCCTGATCCATGGAAAAACATAACTTCTACGCTAACAGCATCGAAGGGCTGTCCTTGACTGGGCACAAAAGGCTGACGCTTGCTTTGTGAACTGACAGAGAACAGTGTTTCGTAACCTTTTAACATACATCAGTGTCTGGGAAATTGATTTTTAGAGGAAAACGTGTTTGCACATGAAATGCTCGCTATGCTGCGGTGGCTTTCTACTGATCCAGTGGATTTATGTTGCATTAATGTTAACACTGTGCTGGGTGTATGTGCATATAGATATGTGTGAGTGTGTACTTCATGCATATTTGTAACTTTCTGATGTGTCCTTGTCTCCTTGTATGCTTGTGTATGCTACACCATGTCTAAGTGTTTGTTTCTCATTGGGTGCTTATATATGCAATATTCTGAGAGTCTGAGTGTTTGTGTGTGTGTGTCCGTATAAAATCACATTTCCATAGCAGAGAAAACACCTGAGCTATGGAGAAAGCTATACAGCTGGTTCAAAAAGAAAACACACTCACACACACAGAGCTAAACCCCGCTCTGCATTGCATACTGGCTTTACCCAAGCTCCTTCTTCCTGCCTTTGATCCCTCAATCTGTATGTCTCTTTCACTGTCATCTTAATAACTTTCTTCTCTCTGCACCTGTCTCTCTGCTCACACACTCTCTTCTATTCACTCTCTCGCTATTCTAAAAAAACGATCCTCACCATTCAGGGTCCTGGTACCATCTAGTTTCAAAAAGTGAAGCTTTGCTGCCATTGTCTTTGTGCTCATTGTTGTTCTTTCTTCTAAAAGTGTTTGTACAGCAAAAACACCAATATTGGCAGGAAGTTTGCAAATTGCACCCACTACTCAGGCACATACAATGACACTCATTGAACTCAAGGTGGTGCTGTCCTAATCAAGTTTCAATTTTTGCTCAAAAAACTTAGCCTAGAGACAAAATTATTTTATCGTTTTAATATTTCAAGTCGACTGAAGCTAGTCTTCTGCTCTATAAATCTTATTTTCAACATCTCGCCGGGAACAGGTAGGCCAATCGTCCCAAAACTTAGTCAGGATCATGTATAGACTTCACTGATTCAAATTGTTTAAGAGTTTTTGAAAAGTTAAACCATTTCACTTATACAAACAAATACATTTTTTCATCAAAACAGCAACGATTGTGTGTTAAATATGTCTTCACTTAAGGGCACAAGCAACCTAAAATGTTTCTGTTTCTGTTTAGTGATGACCTGGTTAATTTTAAAGGAAATCAAGAATTTTGCTTCTTGTGAATCAAACACAGTATGTAATATACTGCTGTTAGGGGTCTCACATCAAAACAATAATAAAAAGACTTAGTTTGATGAGGTGTCCTCCTACCCTTGCATGCACAAAGGGAATATAACTCCAGTGACCAAATGAAACTTGATTAAAATGACAGATTTCTCTGGATTTGAAAATTGTTGGAAACATTTGGGATATTGTAAGTACACAACTAAATATATAACATCGGTCTAATTGTTTTTAGCAATTTCATTGCAGAAAAGATACATAGTATACCTTTAAATAAGAAAAAAAGCACCACAATGCTTGCAGTCAGATTGGACCTTGCTCATTGCAGAATGCATAGCTAGCTAGATAGATATAGATAAATATTATATATATTTATCCTTTTTTTTACCTGAGCAAATGTTTTGTTAGAACATTGATCAGACCCACATTTATTTTTCACTCCTGAGGCCAAACAGAGGTTGTTTTGTGTATTATTTTAATTTAATGGCATTTTATTTAGAAAGTCGAGTGTGGTGGGGTTTTTTATTAGACAGTTACTGGACAGAAAATAATTAAAGCAATACAATTAATGAAATGTGCTCACATTCAACTGTGAATATAATTAAAAGTAGAATTGTCTGACCACTACAATCTGAATATCTCAGTATGCAGTTCTATCATCCTTGTGTCATTATATATTCAAGAAGAGTTGTTTGTAAAAAAACAAAATACAATACACTACTTGAATTTAACTAGAAACAAATGAACACGTTGTTGAAATAAATATGCTGGCATATACTGGCAAATTGTCTCTATTTCATTTTTCCTCCATCTCTCCTTTTCCATTTCAGTTTTCACTCCCAATACATTGGTATTCCATTATTCTATCCCTCCTTCTTTGGCCTTAGGTGGTCATAATGTTAAAGATGATGATGATGGCAACATGCTTGGTGGTCAATTTGCAGGTCCTCCATCCACTAATTTACTTATTCAATCAATAAAATAATTGCCATGCTCAGCATGATGTGCAAACAGCACCCAGCACTGCTGCTTTATCATGTGTGTGGATGGATGGAGTAAAAGAGGGATTAGTGAATGACAAGGGGGCTGCAGGGACATATGAAATAAGAGATGGGAGAGTGTAGTAAAGATAAAAGGAAGAGACAGGATTTGGAGAGGGAGTGATGTGTGTACAGCTAGATGGATAGATAGATGGAGTAAGGGAGGGTTAATTGAATCAATTACATTAGAAAAGAAGAGATGAATCTTGAAAATGATAACTGGATAGAGAAGTGGATAGACAGATTAACAGATATACAGAAATTATAAAAAAAAAGGGTAATGGAAGGATTAATGGATGAATGGATGAACAGATAGATGAGATGAACTGATAGACAGATGACCATGGGGGGAATGGACAAAAGGATGGCTAAAAGGAGGAACAAGTCAGGAGTAGCAGTGGTAGTTGAATGGGTTTAATAGAAATGAGGAGGTATAGTAGGATAACAGATTAATAGAGGGATGATGGATGGAGAGATGACTTGTGAAATGAGAGGTGACTATGTGGGTGGAAAGATTGAAGGATGAAGAGAGGGAGTCTTGAGTGTGTAGAAGCAGTGGATAGATGGATGGATGCATGGATGGATGGACGATGGTGTAGAACAATGGATGAAAAAATGGTTAATGCTTCTGTTTGTTAGACTTTCATTTCTGTGTCTGTTTGTTTTACGGTATATAATCTATTTTCTATATTTCATTTATTTGCTGTGAATACCAGATTTCTCTTCACCTTAATGATGGAAGTTTTGATTAACATCTCTTGTCTTTCCATCTAATTGTAAAGAGAACAGATGGTTTGACAAAACGCTAACGTCATTCTGTGAAGATGTATGACAGCAGATTTCTGCCATTGTATAAATCGCTCAAGTGTTCTTTTACATTCTGCTTCATCATGCCTTGATATGCATCAGCAAATGGCACAGAAACCTTTTTAGCCCATTCTGTAGATTACAGTAAACTATCTCAAATATGTGAGGCTGAAACATATAAAAGAGGCAGAGTGGGTACCTATCACAGTCTGTGGCTCTCTGTTTCCTGGGCAGTTAACACATGGGATCAGCAGGTATAACAGTGATGCAGCTGATTAACAACAGTGTGTAAAGAAAAGAGAACGTGGAAAGAAAGTAGAGGAGTGGAGAGAAGAGGATAGGAGGAGAGGGTTGGAATGAAAAACAGACTGAAAGGAGGAGAATATGGTAAAGTATGGAAATGAAGTGGAAGTGAAGAATGGATAAGAGAATATCTGATGAGCAAATAAAAAGATAGAAAATAAGGAAAGAGGGCTAGGGTTAGAGTAAGAGAAAAAGCAATGAGGATTGAACCGTACAAAATAATGTAAAAGAAAGGGGCATTTACCGAGGGGAATGGAGAAGATAAATCACATACACTCTTAAGGAAACTTAAGAAAACAAATGGCACAGAATGGACTACTGGCTATTCAGGCCTAGTTGCATTTATAATGTATGTCAAAGAAAAGAAGATATAAAAAGAGCAAATTATTCAAACAAAATGCAATAAATAATTAAAACTGAGGAGAGTATATTTCAAAAGACATGTAGAGAGAAAAGAGGGAGATGGGATGATGTGACAGTAGACATGATGAACACGGATGGGAAGAAAAAAGGAGCAGAAAGGAGGAGGACAAATGAGAAGAGGTGTGGCAGGAAGATGATGAGCAGGCATCTGGCTGATAAGTATTATCACATAAAACAGAAACACTCCTGTAAGACGAGACCGGCAGACAAATGTCACTACAGCACTTATTCCTCTGTGTGTGTGTGTGAGTGAGAGAGAGAGGGGGAGGGGGGGGCGGGGACTGTGTGGAATGGTCTACTTTGTGCAAAGAGTAGCCACACACACATACATGTCACATTTGGCAAGGGCCAGAGACAATCTCCTTGGCAAAGAACTGGTCAATCTGGCCAACAGAAGGGGAGAGAGGACAAATGAAGAGAAATAGACAGAGAGAAGGAAGGTCCTGGAAAATGGTTTTGACATTTCATTTTGCCCATGAGTAAACTTTGTATGTGTGTGTGTACATTTGTGATTGCACACTAAGTATATTGCCCTCCATGTGCGTCTCTGACATTGTATGTATATAGAACTGCCTTTTGTTAACTTTTGCACCACCAGTTTGTCATGCACACACATGCATGCGCACATATCAACACATACTGTACACACAAAGATACACCCATACAAACACAAGTAAGAGTTATTAAACAAACCAATTTTTAACTGAAAACAGAGAGATATGAACAAACAAACAAAAATATGGATATAGAAAACGTGAGATAAAATTGTTTTACTCACCTATAGAAGTTGTGGCTGGAACAGGCTCTTTGGACACTGTACACATATTCCCCATGACACACAGGGAAACATAAATGTCACTAACATGTTCATTTTTATCTTTAAAAACATTTTTGGTCTGTTTTTGCAATATTGACGGCTGAGAAACACAAATTGCAATAATAATAATAACAAAAAATAACATAACGCAGGTTTGGTCAGAAGAGGAAAGAACCTTTAACATTTTCTAATAGTAATATCTGCACAACAACTGATCAACATTTGTAGTCTGCGAACTGGTAAAAGCAATAATATGTTCTCTTTCAGTAGTAATATCCATGCAAAAATCCTCTGATCAACCTAAACGGGCAATTTGGAACAAAAACACAATTTCTCAGTATCTACAGTGTCATTAATAGAGATGATTTGTCCAGTTGTTACAGTTGCAGGCAACTCCATCACCTCTACAGCCATTGAAACACTGTCTAAAGCATCTTCAAAGATTATGTGTTTATGTGTGTGTCTGTGTGTGCTTAAGTGTGTACCTGAGTAGTACGAATTCAGCAGGGATTTGCTCTGCAGTGTCTTGCTTCCCTGCACAGAGAAGGAGCAGGGAGAGGGGGAGGCTGGGGAGGATAAGGTGAAAACAAGGTGAAAAAGAGGAGGAGAAAACAAGACAAAAAAGGGGAGAGGATGTGGGGAAGAGAGAGGTGAAGTGAAAGGAGGGTGTGGGACAGAATAGATAGGTAAGGGAAGAGGAGGAAGTGAATGGAGAGATAAAGTGAAAATAACAGGAGGGACATGAGGAAATATGAATAGAGGATGTGAGAAAGGAAAACAAGAGGAAGCAGGAGGAGATGAGGGAATAGGAGAGACAATAAAATGAATAGGACAGAGGAAGTTGGAAAAGAAATAAGGACAGCAGAGAGAGTAAATACAGGTAAAACAGGTAAAAGACAAGAGGGTGAAACATAGGGGGGGAGAAGAAGATAAGGGGGATATGTCAGTGAACTCACCAAAAAAACAACAATCAATCATCACTGAAGACACAATTAACAACAAAAACATACACAAAGGAAGACACTACATATTCAACAGCACAAGGAACAATCCGATAACACTATTGACACCATCAATGCTACCAATATTGAATTTTGAAAGATAAAAGGTTTTCCGTCTCAATGAGTGTGCACTCAAACATGACATAATCTCAATGTTTGTCAATACATAGGACTACATGGTTGTGTGGCTTGTATGAACAATGACTTTTCAAAGTAAATGGAATGAACCAATGGCAAGAAACAGAGCATGATAAATAGTTGAGAACTCGATGACATATAAGTGTTTTCCAGTGGACGTGTAATACTCAAATATCACAATCCTTTTTGGACACAAGCAGCCCAGATATGCCAGATACCAAGTAATCAACATTATGAATCAAACAGGTGTAAGAACTAACATGTTACATGTATTTATCGCACTAGCTAAGCTAGCCTAGCATCTCTAGAGCAGTTAACTGCCTAGTACAGACTCTACTCACTTGAAAAAATTAACACGTCGGTCATATAAAACAGCTTAAAATGACCATTGTGCAATTGCTCCTGACAAGCAGCAGCCACTGGAATGATGACTCCTTTTACAGGAAAAAGTAATTTGTGTAAACAACAAACAAATTCCAAATCGGTGACAAATATAGGAAGGTGTCTGGCCACTATGAGACCCCAGAACAGGTTCAGTGCTCCATGACATCAATTTTCCAAGTCTCTGAATCTCTTTTCCCAAAGGTGGTGTTTAGATAACGGCGGTGGAGAGTGGTGTCTAACACATTGCTCCATACGTCTCCTCATGTGGATGGGGTCACTGTCATTTTTGAAGAGGCCACTCACCTCAGGATGGACAAAACAATGGAAATTTTTGTTTTTATGGTTCTCCACTGATTTATTTGTGGTTTTCCTTTAATTTCTCACCTGTCCATAGGATACTCTGTAAGCTAGCATGGCAGCTAATGAGCAGTTATCAACCTAACCACAAAACATGACAGCTGTGCTCATTTGTTGAAATGACATACAGGCATACACACTCAAATCCATCACAGGGTTTGTTCAAACTGCTTTTGCCAGTTCAAAATGGCAACTGTGGGTCATAATAAAGTCAACAGAACAAAATAGAAAACAGAGTAGCAGCTGAGCTAAGCAGATATATCATTGCTTATAAGTGTGCTTTACCATCACGTCTCGCTTCCTTAGATAGTGACTGAAGGCTAATACATATATGCAGATACAATGATATATTTCCGGTATACTCTGCTCCGTCTCGTCACCAACAGATCAACTTGACTTTAGCTTTTTAAAACTGAATAAATTTGTTTACTAGTAATCCCAAAAGCTTCAACTCAATTTACTCTGGAAGAACATAGCACTCTTTACCATAAAATAGGTTTCCCATCAAATAAAATGTAAAAGTAAATGGCAGTATAAAGGCTGACACAGACCTCATTCAGTGTTTGTAATTTTACTAATGTCTTCAAAATTAATATGATGGTAATTTCCTGGTGTGAAAATTTTCCATGTAGCAGCCCTCTTGCCTAATTCTTATTCAAATTCTGTTTGCTCTACTGTTTTCTAGTACAATAGCCCAATTTCCCTACAGCGGATAATTTAAATTTTATCTTCACCCCCCTCCTCCTCTCTCCTAATACCTCCAAACACAACATATTTTCTCCTCTTCTGTGATAAAATCCCTCTCGTCTCATGCGTACTGGCACTGTATGCTAATGCAAAGCAAAAAGAAGCCCAACTTTAATACAGTGAGGAGTGTACCTGCATACCAAAAGAAATCTGCTTTGACAGCAATGTCCTGTGAAGATAACTGGTGACTGGGTGAGAATGCAATAACACAAAGAGGTTATTTGCTCTGTGAGGGTCCATCTGTGGAAATATTATTGGGTCCCATTCCTTGTGTCAGCATTTTTCTCTGTCTCATTAGGACTGAGCCCGGATCGGTGACTGTGTATATGTGTGTGTGCACTTTGTTTCTTTTTCATATGTGCATGTGATAAGACAGACAGTTAGAGAGAGAGAAGTTCATGGCACTAACTTAAACAGACAGGTAATTACCATTGAGCTCAATCAACAAACTAACAAAAAGTGCAGAAAGTGACAAAACAAAACAATAAGAATAACATTTTTAGTAATCTGCAAGAAGATTATGAAACACCCACGGTCTAGAATAAAGCAAGCTACTTTTCTAGTATAGTTTGCAAATGCCCAAACAAATAATTATGTCTTAAATAATGTTAAATACCACAACTTTATCATACATCCAAGGTCCCGATAAAATTGGTCTCTTCTAAGTGTTTTTTAATGCAAATATATTATTGCACCTCAGAATTGCAACATGAAAAGTTAGAGAAAGATTGCAGGCAATTACAGCCGACATTAGCTTGCTACTTAGTCCCTCTCCAGCACCCCTGGTTTTCAGTGGCCAAGCACTCCCAAAAGGCCAGGCTGACATTTTCAAGAGAAAAATGCCCTTCTGAGCGGCCCTTTCTAATTACCGTGGACACAAGTGCATGCACACACAAGGTATGAACCAACACACACGCAAATGTGGGCAGGCTGACTTTCATGATTGCTGTTGAAAATATACATAGCTTCATATGTGAAATATCCAATGCAGTATGCATGCATGTACTTGTATGTGTATGAGATATCACAGGGCACAGGTTTAGGAACAGAGCTGAAAATGATTATAAAGGCAGTAAGTAACATGGAGGCTAGTGAAGCAGCCCAACACACTGCTGATGCTGGAGAGTAACATATGGAGAGTTTTATTATAAAATGAGACGTTTGAATAAATGAATCTGACAAAATGATTAATGGCACAGAGACATGGTATATGCATATATTGGAGTAGAGACATGGGCAAAAGAAACTTTACTATGTGAAACAAAAGTTAACTTACCGCTATATTTATTAGACAAAACTAATTATCTTACTTACATTTTATTTTAATGATTTTACTTCAATAGCAAAACAATGTTTCATTGGCTTCTACCGTGGTTATATATTTAGAGATTGGTATTAGTACGTTCCCCAGTGGCCCTCCATGCTGACAGCTGTAGTCAGTTGATTTAGGATACACATTCAAGCCAGAACCACAAAAGATTTTCACTTACTGAATCCATTGAGGTCCTGGTTGGAGGTTGAGAAGGGGTCATCTTTGTGCAGGGTGCTCACTTTAGTGGTGCTCTTATCAGCTGTGGTGACTGGACCCATCTCCCTCTGCTGGGTGGAACTGCTGGCAGTCTCCTTTTGCTTCTTAGCCAATTTTCTGTTGTGGTTTGACCACATAAACACAAAAAAGCATAAACATAAAAGCACATACCCAAGCACATACAGGAACACATATACAAACAGGTATTTTTACACAGTGTGCAAACCCATATACAGTACACATCACGTCACATACAAACAAACATAAACAAAATCAAAAATACTGTTAGGGAGATGCTTTATGGTGAAAACAGTAAGCGCAAAAGGATTATGTTTCTTTATAACATGCAGTGACTTGCACACAGAAATGAGACTGCCTCATTCGGATCTGTAAACAGAAACGAGCAATTAGAAGCACTTTTTTGTAATTGATTTTATTTAAACATTTCTGTGTTGGTATCCTAAAGTTACCTAGTTAGTCATTTGCAATAACAGTCTGTTGATGCCTTCGATAACTAGTCTGACATTAGAAAAATCTTCTTGTTGTTTTAAAATTTCCCTCTTCAGACAGTCCTTTTACATCAGTACCTCCTACTGTGGAATCAAAGTCAGACTGTATAATGAAAACACTACTGTTAAACCACAGTGTCTAAAAATACATAATTTAAAAATAATTTGTCATCAGGTACCAAGTATCAATGTCAGCTGTTCTGTAAAACCACTGACAGCACTGACTTTTGCATATCCAGTAGATTTGGACAGTTAAAGATGCTTCATTGACTCACATTCCATGTAACTTATAAGGAGACTCCCTTATTGATTTTTGGAAGGGCTTAGAGTTAGTAATCAAAAAAAAAGGGTATTTTTTCTCCAGAGCAATTAGAGTAAAGACAGGACAGACAACATGTTTCAGTGGGGAGAGGATGACATTCAGTACTTCAGTAACATGTCGGGCAGTGTCTGTATATAATGGTAAATGTGGTTGAGTGAATGTTGATGAGATGTCCCTTGAGTGTGGTTGTATCCTTATGGGCTTTTTTTCTTCCATTCACTGTTCACATGTCATAGCTCCCATCTGTTGGCTATTTTCCATTGGCTATTTTGAGTCCTACCTGAACCTCCAGTTTTAGGTCCAATGAGACACCAGATGGCAGAAATGACAGCAAGCCATTACAATCTGACATCGACTGGTAGATTCACTAGAGCTTGCTGAAGTACCACAATGAACCAGATTTGTAATGTCCTCTCCTGCATGTAACTACCTCTAAAAGACAGAACTGTTCTATGGACCTGAACATACTGGAAGTGATAATTAGTGAGCCTCATTTTAATGTGAGTGTGATTCTGTTGTTTACTGCATACAGAAACCAGTGCTTCTTTCAACCGAATGAAATTATGTCAAAGGCAGTGCAACTTTTGAACTTCATGTGCTGTTCTTGAGTATGCTTCATTTCTATATGAGGAGACCAGCTAGGATATTTCCTAGAATATACAGTTGGATTCAAAGTATACATTTTCAGACTGGATATGCCATTAACAGGCCCCCAAAGCTTGTCACAGGCTTTAAACTATCATCAAAGCAAAGGCTTTCCAGCCTTTTGGTCATCTTGACAAATATTGACTGAGGCCCGCAGACCAATGGAATTAGTTCCTTAATTAATTCCTTTTATATGTGATATTTTCCCACTAAGGATAACAGAAATGTTATTTAAAGAACAGTGATCCACTTGTAAACCAGCTGACTGGAAAGTGTGATGTAACCTTGAAGAACATTACGCCCTTAAAGCTTTGGGTTGATCTGGGGATGCAGTGAAATCCAAAGAAAGCCAATAGGCACGGTGGGGTTTCCTTTACTTGATCCTAAAATAGCCCGTAATAGTTTCTTTTAATTATAATGGTTATATATCACTGTTTAGCTGCAACTTAAGCCTGTGTTTTCTGTGATCATCTTTTTATAACGTATGTGTGATATTTCATAGGAAACATCTCATTTGTAATGCTGATGGTCTCACATACAGCACTATTGAAGCTAAAGCATTTATATAGACCTTCTTCAGGGCCAAATTCCCTTGGATGTATTTGTCAGTCACTAACTGGTAAATTGACTGGTGGATCAGTCTCTTGAACTTGGTGTATCTCTTTAATGAGCACACTACCTGACCCTCCACAGCAAAGCACCATGGAACTGTTAAGTGAGACATTTCTGTCTGAAATGCACCACTAACTACAAGTCAGAGTATTAACTGTCTACTGAATTTCACTTAAATTTCAAAAACAACACACATTCTGTCACATTCCTTGATTGGCTTGCCATATTGTTGTAAAACAATACAAAGGGAAAGAAAAGTAGGGCTACTATTCTATAGTATTATATAGAATACATATATAAATTATATACATATTCTATCTGCTAACAGCAACAGTTCAAGAACAAAGTCAGTGCAGTTAGGCTTTGCAAGGCAAAACCATCCACATTTTCTTGAATTTCAATGAAGGGTCAGTGACTGATGAATTGACTTGCACTCTGTAGTTCATATCAACCACAAATATCTGCACATAGGGTCAGAGTTACCATCTAATGGCTTGTTGTTAAAATTCACTTCTGGGCTGTCATCCATGGCTACAAGCTGCTGCATGCCAGACAACCTAAATGCATCCTGAATAACTATTAAGTTTATTCAGAGAGATATGGGAAACCTATTGTGTATGCAGTTATGCATTGTTTTCATGCATGTACCTTGTCTACCCTATGCACCTAACTTGTACATGTGACTGTGTGTGTGTACAGGATGTGACTCTGTGGGTCATGTTAACATTACAATTGGTACCTTAGTTGTACAGATCCAGGGGAAAGGGCTGGACCAAATGTTAAAAGCATTCTTTGCCATGTTTGACCAACAGTAAACCATTTTTCCCCCTTGACCTAGTATGATTTGACATTACAATGGTTACTGTGAAAAAGGCCTGCAAGCTGACCCAAATGTAGATCCATATGCAAGTAGCCATGATGGTCATTGCAGGGGTTTACATTGTGTATTTATTTTCTTTTAGACTCAGAGAGCTTTTGAATGTACTTAAAAGCTAGGCTCTTGCATCTTACCCCAATATGTAATTTTGCATTAGTCCTGATCAGGAAAATGAGCATGGAAATCATATGGCATTGTAGTTATATAGTTAGTTGCTGAACACACATTACAAGATTATTAGAACAGCATTTGTTGGAAAGCTAGACACTGGTGGCTAATGAGCACCCCAGGCTGTATGTGGTAAACTGTGTCACACACATCTATGGGAGATTTCTCTACCGGCAGCACTGTAGTACCCCTGCCAACAAAAATCGTAAGAAATCTTTAAATAAATGCTTGTAGATCTAATATGAGTGAAGATTCTGCAACTGGATTCCCAGCTCAAATATGTTCAGAAACAGATTTTGGCTCTCAGAACTGGGGCCTCAGGAGGGAGGACTGAAGTTGAACCCTTCTCCCACTGGGACATTAACGATCAACTCTATCTTACTAATAATAAGGAATGAGCATTTCAAAAGGGAGTTTTAGTTGTATTCATGGTTGGGATTGAAGATAAGCTTTGATATCACTATTTTTGTTTGAAGTTTTATATATTTTCCAGTTAACACTAAAAATTGTGCACTGTCAGAACAGAGTGACCCATTATCCAAGTTTCTTAAAGTGTGTAAAAGCATTGTTTTTTCACATCAGTAACTGCTGTGCTTTGCAAATGAACAACAGATACTATCACTAATATGAGTATGAGTAATGCATCATTTCAAAATGGATCTTCAGTTGAGTCATATAAAAATCATTTCACACTTCTTTTTCTGAAGTCAACAGAAAAAACTCCTCCAGAATCCGCCAACACATTCTTCAACTTAGTTAAAGTGTCTGACATCTAGTCACGAATGGCATACAGTGGGCTGTGTGTATGTGTGTGTATGCATTTGCTATAATGCAGGCATGTGTGCTGTTTATGTGAGAAAACACTTTATCTCCTTGAAGGCTATGTAAGTACCGCATGTGCTGGACATTCAGTGTTTCGCCTGTGAGTGCTTGTACACGTGTCTGTTGTATTTGGCTACTGGTGCACACTGACCAGTGAGTGGGAGTGTTTCTCAGTGACCTATCACGAAACTGCCTATCACGCCTATGCTCCGTTCTGCATAGTCACTCCAAAAGACAAATTCGTACAAAAAATACCTTCCAAAAAATATCTTCAATGACTTGTCAGTTTCTCTCAACAAGTCAAAAAGCTTATATTATCAGTGATAGAGAGGAGCGAGAGGAAAATGAAGAACATTGCTTGAAGTGACATCTACTGCAAAAAGGCAACTGGTCAAACACAAGTTAAAAAAACTGATGAATATTGTTTTAGTTCTTGTTTACATGATTCAATTCTCATCAATACGTTAGAACTTTAAACAGACACACAGAAGCTTGTGATGTTCAATTTGCATCGGTTTTAACCAATTAGTGCCAAAAATGCACTTATCCAGTAAAAGTTCTTCAACCAGATTTTATGTGACCACACACCCAAAAGGACAAAGATCTCTCAGTTTACAGTGAACCAGAGCATTTTGCAGTGTTGACACCTCAGAGAATGCCTTCAGTAATAAACATAAATATAGTCCCTGATATTTTTAAAAAATAAAACCAAAACTAATGAGGCCAAACAAAAAATAGATAAGTGTAACTATTTGCTCTATAAGGTGAATCTCAGATGTATAAACAAAGAATATCCTTGGTTTGTCTGAGATAGGACTGAAACTACTGTGTCCTGTCCCCATATTTTGTTTCATTGCATTTGCAGAGCCCTATATGGGTGCAAAAGCAATAAACGAGAGGTCAGATGTCGAAGCAATGTTGCTTCATCTCTTTTCATCCCTATCATTCCACTGGCTCACAGAATACTGGTAATAATGTGTGTGTGGGACTGAGAGAGATATGCAAAGATATGAAATTAAATCAGTATCATTGTATATAAGTGTGTGCGTGGGTTTGAGTGTGTCTAGGTGATGAGCTGCACTTGCCCTTGAGTACTTAAGCAATTCAGCCAAGAGACAGAGTAATGAAAAATCACAGAGATTTTATAAAGCCAGAAACAGAA